TTAGTTTTACGAATTAATTTCTTTAACGTAGACATATAATTCTCAAATTTAAATGCACTAAATTTATCCAGAGCACCAAATTGTTTTACGTCTGCAGCAAGATGTAATAAATTATGAATATTATGTGAAATATATTTAGAACCGTAGATAACTTGAAATGATTTTACAAAATGTTTTAATAAATTTTCTGCATATTCTATAATAGAAGTTTGATATGTTAAAGTAGGATGTGCAAGAATTGTGATTGCTACATGTAATGTTAGAAAATTTAAATATACATTTTCTTGTAGTATTCCTTTCAATATAATAGGACCTGTATATAATAAAAATTGCCGATATTCTGTGGCTTTCCAATGTTTGATATACTTTAATGATCTTGGTTTTCGAGCAAAATCAGAAGGAATATAATTGCGTAACTTTATTAGTTTCTTAGAAATTTGTTCTTTGTCTGAATTTGATAATCTTATCTTAAGTGGTCCTGAAAGCCATAACATAATAAGTTTACGCATAACACCCAAACATACCAGGTGCATATAATCTAGTGGCACATTTGTAACTAAGCCTAGATTTGGTATATTTTTTAAAATTGTGTCACCAGTTTGATAATCAAGATTATAAGATCCAGTAAAAATTCTTTATCATTACGTAACATCATATTAGATGTGTATGGAAAACATATATGTCCTTCTATATTATCACCTTCAATAATGCATTTAGTGCAACTATTATATCCAGTGTGTCCTTTTACATTTAAAATAAATGATTTAGCAGGAGCGTCACAAATTATTGCTTTAATTTCGACTTTTATGATCTGTCCCTCATAATCAATCCCATTATTTATAAAAGCAATAGCATCACCTACAAACATTTTTAAAAACTCATTTGCATTTTTGGTTTTCCTTCACCATAATATAAGGCAATGACATATACATTGTTTATAATATTATCTGCACATAATATTGGCCATAAACTCTTTGTGGAAGACTTATATATAGGTAAACCATCAATATTTATTTAGAGAAGTATTTATTGAGGAAACTATTAATCTAAAAGGAATATTTTCCTTGTGGATCTTGGGGAGCCCATAGGCTTTAGGAAGAAGAGAGTCGCTTGAAAATAAATAATAATATTCTTTTTTGTTGATGAAATCTTTTTTCAACCATTTTTTTAAACAAATATTGAGTTCTTTTTCTATTTTTGTTGATGGATTGTTTTTAACTATGGTATACGTAGAATCGTCTTCTAGGAGACTCTCAACTTTTTTTATATAAAATTCTTTTTCTAGTGCGACTGTAATGCTGCCTTTATCTGCTCTAGTAAATAAAATATTAGGATTTTGATTGCAGAATTTAATTGTGTCTTTATGCATGTGAAATAATTTTTCTTGTATGTCCGTTTTTTTGTCGTTATTGTTTAAAAATAATGAAAATTGTGGAATGGCAGCATTACGAATCGAAGTAAGATTTCTGATCCCATTAGAATTGCTTTCTATATCTTTGATGAATTCGTGTATAGCTACTTTTTTATTTAAGTTAACTGGGAGACTAAATTCACCTCCCAATTGTAATAGATTGGTTACATTGGGGGGAATTTTTTATCAGTTAAATTAATAAACCATTTTGGTTAGTTTGTTGTAGAGGGTTATGTGTAGCACAACGAAAACTGTTGGCAGAAACAGTGTTATCAACAATATTTGTCGATGATATTGTTTTCAATTCGATAGGATCAATATTTTAATGTACTCTGTTTCATGCGATTTACGTAGCCATAGGAATTTTTTCTTGTGTATGAGATATAATTTTTGGTTGAACAAAGAAAAGGAGTTGCAATGGTGATTTAAAATCTCCTGCCAGATATAAGATGGTAAAAGATTTTGGAGAATTTGGAATTGCCTTGACCGTTTTTTATTAAGTGAGTTTAAAGTTCTATATAAATCAAATATCTCTATGTTAAGAATTTTATATCGATTCTGTAACGGAATGTTAATTTAATTATTTAACTATTAATAAAAAAAATTTTTACACCTTATTTATTTGCTCGTTCAGTTGGCCTACTATATATGATTTGTTTAATTTTCTAAAAGGAATGTTCTGTTTGTGAATTTTAGGGAGACCGTAAGCTTTCGGTAGTATGGAATCACTAGAGTGCATAAAATAATATTCTTTTTTTGAAATATATCCTTTTGTTAGCAAATTTTGATAGTGTAATTGAGTTCTCTTTCAATTTTTAAGATTGGATTCTTATTGACCACGCAGTAAGTGTTAACATCTGCAAGAAGTTCAGTCACTTTATTATTGTAAAAATCCCTCTCCATTGCAACTGTCACATTACCCTTGTCAGATCGCGTCGTAAATATTATATTGTTGTTTTCTCTGCAAAATTTTACTGTGGTATTGTACATATCAGTAATTTTTTCGTTTATTAAATTCTTTTTGTGAAAATTATGTAGATAATGATTAAATTGGGGGATTGCAATATTCCTAATAGTTCTGAGGTTTTGTAAATTATTTCTTTTTCCATTAGCTTCCAAATCTTTGATAAATTCATGTATGGCAGTTTTTTTGTTGGAGATGGGAAGATTGAAATTACTACCCATTTGTAAAAGATTAGATACTTTTAGTGGGATTCTGTGTTCGTTATTTTTATTATCATTGTATCTACTAAGAAATAAATCAATTATGTGTAGACATTACATCTCTCACTAATTTAATATGCTCGTTATAGTTGGCCCTGTCTTTCTAAATCTTAATTTTATAATATCACACGAGCCTTGTCTTTAAATATCTAATTGTTTTCCTTATTAAAATTAATTATTGTTCCGGAACCGTTGAAAATAATTGAGAGTCTCCGCGAAAAGTTTAAATGTCGCGCGATCAAATATATTGAGAACCATAAATCGTCGCATTAGCGAATCACGAATTTCCACGCGACCGAGGCATAGCGCGTAGCCGATCCTTCTCACACCTCTTTGCAATTCGCATTCGCGGTCCTTTTTCGCCAACTCAAGTGCGCGGTGTATCGATTAGGATCTGTCGCGCACCCCCGATCATGCCTATCTGAGTCGCTAATATCCTTCCTCGTTTCCCGTTCCTTCTTCTTGTTCCGGCTCTCAGTGTATTAACACATTGCCTCGTTATTGGAGATTCGTATCACGCGTGGTTCACATAATCCTTCGAGTCACGAAAGTGATTCTTTTCCGCCGGTCATCGGCAAAAATTTGTAGAATATTGGGCAAGCGATATTTTCCATTATTTCAGTTTTATTTGTGAAATACATGCATAGCTCGGCTGCAATTACGACCGCATGTATCACCACGTGCTCCGATATTACAGTGTTCCGGAGACTCTCAGAGACCTCGATTTCGCGAACGGTGCATCGCGCATCCGCGTTCGGCTCTTGATCGCTGCGATCTTTGTAAAAATTATCGCGAGAAGATTTCCGTCGAGTACGCGCGCAGCAATTACGATCAAGCACAAGATGTCCGTCCGTTCTCGTTAAAATTTTTGTCCACCGTTCGCCAAGTGTGTTTAATTCGAACTCGAAACTTTAGTTTTTTTTGTGAAAGATCGACAACTTTAGTTTTTTTTGTGAAAGATCGAATAAACCTTTTTTTAACCATATTCTCAGCTGTTAACAATCAACCCCTTCTTCCCTCTATTCCCGATCAAAATTAATTTAATCAGTGCATTCCGCAACATTTCTGGTCCTTCGAGCCGGATCGGGACTGAGGTTTTTTGCCTTTTTTGACTGTTAACAGCTGTGTTGGTGCTACGCGTTCAGTAGCGAACTCGTTCGATTATCGCGTAGTGGTGCAATAAAAAACCTGTGTAAAATGGAATCCTTCGAAGAATTGATGCACGAACAGTCTACAAAAATGAGCTCAGTTATTCGTGCGATATCTAATTTTAAAAAGTTAGGTCAAGCTAAAATGACCTATGCAGTGACGAAAAATCGCATGGAAACATTAAAAGAAAAATTCGAACAGTGCTCAAATTAGATGCCAAATTACACGCTTCCGCTGACTCCAAGGAGAAGACCACGCACCCCTACTTCTCAGATCACGAATTTGACGAGTGCGAAGAAGCCTACGAGACAGCGTTGGATTATTTCGCAGAGGTTGTACATGAACTCTCCAAATCATCAGTTCATCCTGCAGCTAACGTAAGTCATTTGCACGAATGTCAGTCTCATACGACACTCAACCTACCGAAGGTCACATTGCCGGTCTTCGATGGATCGTTCGACAAATGGGAGAGCTTCCGCGATCGTTTTCAATCGATGATATAGAAGAAAAAAGCCTGTCTAACGTACAAAAATTGCATCATTTATTCTCGTGTCTAAAAGGCGAAGCGCTCACCGCGATCGAACATTTAACGATTACTTCTGATAATTTTGCTGTAGCATGGACGATTCTTTCGTCCAATTTTGAAAACGAGCGTCGGCTAATCAATTCATATATACATCGCTTATTTACACTGCCCAATGTTACGGCGAAATCGGCGACCGAACTTCGAGCTCTACAGAGCAAATTAACTGCCGCAATTGCCGCGTTAAAAAATTTGTCTCGTCCGGTCGAACACTGGAGCGATATTTTTGTTTATATTATCACACAAAGACTCGACAAATCCTCGCGCGAAGCGTGGGAAATTGAAGTTAGGAAAAACGACCGTCTATCCTACGTTTGACGAAATTAGCGCGTTCTTGGATTCTCGTATTCGCGCTCTCGACGCCCTTGTACCGATCGCTTCGACACTCGATAAACAAAGCGATAAATCAAACGCGAAATTAAAACAAAGGGCTGTCACTTCGCATACAACAAGCGCCACGAAACTTTCGTGTCCCGTGTGCGAATCGAATCATTTGTTATATCAATGTACGCGTTCCTCGGAAAAAACGCCGACTCAGCGATACGAAATTATTCGTAACGGCAAGCGTTGCCTTAATTGTCTCAGTTCGAAGCATCAAGCGAAAGAATGCCCGAGTACCCGCTCGTGTAAAGAATGTCACAAAAGGCATCACACGCTTTTACATTTTTTGACGCTCCGAAATCAGCTGTTCAAGCGTCATCGTCTCCCGCGTCAACAAATCCCGTCATCTCGACAAGTGACGTTTCCTCGCATATCGTTGCGAAAGCTGTAACAGCGCGTCACATTCTCCTTGCAACTGCTCGCGTTCGCGTGCATTCAATGCACGGTCGATTCCAATGGGCCCGAGCGCTCATCGATCAAGGATCTGCGTCATCCTTTATAACCGAAAATTTAGTGCAGTCATTAAGACTTCCGAAATTAAATACCGCTGTTAGGGTAACAGGTATTGGCGAAACGCAGACAAACGTTCGACATGCCGTTCATCTAACGATAACTCCCAGCAACGCGGACACTCCGGTTTATCGAACCACCGCGTTAATTTTAAAATCGTTAACTCGATATTTGCCCAACCGTCTCGACATTCCAGAGCAATGGCCGCATTTGAATGGCCTTTCGTTAGCTGATCCCGATCCCGCAGGATCAGATCCAATAGAAATAATTATCGGAGCGGATCTTTTCGGGTCACTCATCCTCGACGGCGTTCGAAAAGGCGCGGTTGACGAACCGATCGCTCAAAATACCGCGCTAGGCTGGATCATATCCGGACCTATAGCGCAACTCAGACCGCTCTCGCAGTCGTCCATTGGAGTACATCATTGCTCTGTTACGGATGATCTCAATCAAACTCTCCGCCGATTTTGGGAAATCGAAGAAATTCCCGCTTCATCGAAAATAACTAGTGAAAAAAAGGCATGCGACGACCATTTTAATTCGACACACTCTCGAAATTCTGAAGGTCGCTATATCATCAGACTTCCATTTAAACACGGACCTCCACTCAACATTGGAGAATCTCGACATTCCGCGCTTCAGAGTTACCTTCGCACGGAAAGCCGCATTAAAACGGATTCATCGAAATCGTCGGAATATCATAATTTTTTAAAAGAATATTATGATCTGAGACACATGCAACGCGTCTCAGAAACCGAACAATTAATCGACTCGAATCAAATCGTATATATTCCGCACCATGCCGTATTCCGCGCTAACAGCTTAACAACGCGAATACGTATCGTTTTCAACGCTTCAAGTCGAACCTCAAACGGTACGTCATTGAATGATCATTTATATCCGGGCCCTAAACTTCAAAAGGACCTTGCTGCAGTGATTTTGCGTTGGCGCACATTTCGATACGTTTATTCCGCCGACGTGGCAAAATGTATCGCCAAATTCAAGTCGATCCTCGCGATCGTGATTTCCAACGCATCTTCTGGCGGCCATCTCCAACACATCAAGTTGAGGAGTATCGTCTCTGTACCGTAACGTACGGCATGACTTCAGCTCCGTACTTAGCTTTGAAGGTCATGAATCAACTCGCCATAGATGAAGGCGCTTCATTTCCATTAGCCACATCCGTTATCGATCGTCAAATGTACGTCGACGACTTTATCTTCGGCGCCGACGACAAGGTTCTCGCTCGTCAAACTCGCGAGCAGATTGTTTCTCTTCTCAAAAGAGGTGGATTCACGCTACGAAAATGGGCAAGCAACGTGTCCGAACTCCTTGACGAGATCGAAGATACCGACCACGGTCTCGCTCAAAGCCGAGATCTAAACGAAGATGAGAGCTTGAAAATTCTCGGTCTTACTTGGCAACCAGATCGCGACATCTTCAAATTTACCATTACGATTACAGGGCCTCCTGGCAACACCAAAAGAAGAATTTTATCCGACATCGCCAAATTCTTTGATCCACTTGGATGGGCAACTCCAGTGATTATTCGCGCCAAAATTTGATGTGCAACGACTTTGGATCGCTAAATGTGAATGGGACGAAGTCGCTCCGCCGAATCTGCTTGAAGCCTGGCAGCAGTATCATACTCATCTTAAACATCTAGAAGAGGTGATGATTCCACGTTGGATTCAACTCGGCCATCACGTACTGCATCTAGAGTTGCATGGATTCTCGGATGCATCTACCAAAGCATACGCTGCAGCGGTGTACATTCGCGTTGTCACGGTGGATGGAATGGTCTCGGTCAATCTTCTTGCCGCAAAATCAAAAGTCGCTCCTGTCAAAGTAATGAGTGTTCCGCGACTCGAGTTATCTGCAGCTCAATTACTCGCACGGCTCATTCATTTCATTCGCGAAGCTCTCGACTTTCGTGAGGTAAATGTTTATTGTTGGACCGATTCCACAATTACTCTTGCCTGGATGAGCCGACCTTCTACTACATGGAAGACATTTATAGCGAATAGAGTAGCCGATATTCACACGCTACTTCCGGACATTCCATGGCGTCATGTCCCAACAAAAGAAAATCCTGCCGACTGCGCATCGCGCGGGATCTCTCCCGACGACCTTGCCACAAACCTTCAATGGTGGTCAGGTCCCGATTGGCTTATTAAATCTTCCGATTATTGGCCAAAATCTGACTCGGATTTCGATCCCCACGCGCTAAGCGAGCAACGCGCGCAACCACAATCGCTCACTACATCCGTTTCGCATCGTGGGACCTATCACAACGTTATTCGTCATGGCACAAACTCCTTCAAATAACTGCATACATCTATCGATTCGTAACGAATTCCCGCTCTCGACATATCAATCTCAATCTGAAGATACAAAACCCTAGAGCTCCGATCTACCTAAATCCGATTGAAATTAAGTCCGCTGAAATCTTTTGGATTCGTTACATTCAATCAGAATTGTTTCATAGCGAGATATCAGCACTCAGTACGGCAACTCCAATCAAGAAATCTAGCACACTGCTTTCATTAAATCCTTATCTCGATAATGATCAAATAATTCGAGTCGGTGGCAGGCTAAGGAACGCCACCTTACAAAGCGCCGTTCGCAATCCGATTGTCCTAAAGGACCATGCCTTGGTCAGGATGATCATCATGGACACCCACCGACGAATGTTGCACGCTGGATCTCAATTAACATTAGCTCGGATCCGAGAGAAATTTTGGATTCTGCGAGCACGATCTCTGGTTCGCGCTGTACTCTACAAATGTGTATCATGTACACGAGAAAGGGCTCAGATTCCTAACGAGCTCATGGGCGATCTTCCGAATGTAAGAGTAAATCGCTCAGCTCGAGCATTCGAACATGCCGGTGTCGATTATGCCGGTCCAATTCTTGTACGAACCTCTCGTGGACGAGGTCATAAAGCGCATAAAGCCTATATTGCCGTGTTCGTTTGTATGACGACAAAGGCGATCCATCTCGAGCTCGTTAGCGACTACTCTTCAGACGCTTTTCTCGCCACATTAAATCGTTTCGTTTCTCGTCGCGGATACCCTGCATCGATTTATTCGGATAATGGAACCACATTCCAAGGTGCCGATCGCGAACTTAAACTCGCAATCGCGCAGGCTTTAAAAAATTCGGATTTGCAAAATACGCTTTCGACCGACGGAATAAACTGGCATTTCGTGCCTCCTTCCGCTCCCCACTTCGGTGGATTATGGGAAGCTGCTGTACGCAGCGTCAAATACCATTTAAAGCGCTTGTATCGGCTCACATACGCTCACATTTGAAGAATTAAATACTGTTCTTTGTCGTATCGAAGCGTGTCTTAACTCGAGACCTATTGGGTCTGTGTCCGAAAATCTCGATGATTATCATGTATTAACACCGGGACACTTCTCATCGGGGGACCCATCTTAGCTGCGCCACAGCCAAGCGTTCTCGATCTTAACGAAACTCGTCTTTCCCGCTGGCAATTGTTGCAACATATTACAGAAAAATTTTGGAAATCATGGTCAAACGACTACTTATTAACGTTGCAGCAGCGGCCAAAATGGAAAATTGCGCAACGACTTGCGACTGTAGGCCGAATCGTTCTCTTGCGGAACGCACTTGCTCCTCCGTCTCACTGGGAGCTCGGACGTATCATCGAATGTCATCCCGGCAACGACGGACTCGTTCGCGTCGTTACCGTGCGCACCGCGCGTTCACAGTATAAGCGTCCAATTGTAAAATTATGTTTTCTTCCGATCGATATCAATACTTCAAGCGATCAAAGTCCGGCATGGCGGGCGGCACCGATTCCGATTAGACTTAAGTAATAATGTTCAAAAATTATTGTACTGCACCATTTGTTGTAAAAAAAAAAAAACTTTCCATATTCGTATTGTAAGCGTTCTAGTCATAAATTGTAAGCGTTATAGTCTTTACTTCGAATAAAATCATTCGAGACGGGCGGTATGTTCGGAACCGTTGAAAATAATTGAGAGTCTCCGCGAAAAGTTTAAATGTCGCGCGATCAATATATTGAGAACCATAAATCGTCGCATTAGCGAATCACGAATTTCCACGCGACCGAGGCATAGCGCGTAGCCGATCCTTCTCACACCTCTTTGCAATTCGCATTCGCGGTCCTTTTTCGCCAACTCAAGTGCGCGGTGTATCGATTAGGATCTGTCGCGCACCCCCGATCATGCCTATCTGAGTCGCTAATATCCTTCCTCGTTTCCCGTTCCTTCTTCTTGTTCCGGCTCTCAGTGTATTAACACATTGCCTCGTTATTGGAGATTCGTATCACGCGTGGTTCACATAATCCTTCGAGTCACGAAAGTGATTCTTTTCCGCCGGTCATCGGCAAAAAACTTTGTAGAATATTGAGCAAGCGATATTTTCCATTATTTCAGTTTTATTTGTG